TTCTTGGTCACTTGAAGTCAAGTTTTTGAGTGAAGAGGTTTGTAAACAAGAGGGAAAGGGTAGAAGTGACTCTTGAAATCATACTTCAAGTTGTTTTAATAAAAGTATTAAGACTTTATTAGCAAAGAAATATAAAAACTTCTTGCGAACATCTTTTTTGTGTGTGGTCAAAGGATCAGCAGAAAAAGTTTTTTATTAACAATATTATTAAGATATATAAATATAATTAATAAAAATTTGTTTATATTTTAAAATCAATATATTTTATATTAGTCAATTATTTTTAATAAGAATTTATATTATTTAAAATTTAGAATTAAATTAAAATAAATAAAATTTTTCAAAAAATTATAAAAATAAAAACTCTAAAGAATTTAAATAATTAAAAAGAAAAAAAATAAGTCTTTTTATTATAACAAAATCTTTATAATCTTTCATTTTAAAGGTTAGAAAAATTTTTAGATACTTTACAATTAGTTTTTTTTTTAAAAAAACTTTTTTGCTATTGATATCAAAGTTATTATTTGACTTTTTTTAATTATCAAAAGTCAAGTTTTAAGTAAAGTAATTTATATATAAAAGAGAAGATAGAAATAATTCTTGAAATTTTATTTCAAGTTATTTTAATGAAAGAAATATTCTTTTTTGTATATGATTAAAAGAATAGTAAAAAAAGTTATTATAAATAATAAATATATATTTCAAAAAATATTATTCATTAAGTTATATTTAAAGAAAATTAATTTTAATAATAAAAATTGTTAAATAAAAATAATATATTATATAATTAATAAAAACTTTATTATAAAATAAATTGTGATTAAAACTAGCTAAATTAAAAATAAAATTCCAAATTATTAAATTTAAGAAAAAATAAAATAAATCGATATATTTTTTGAAAAAATTTAATGTTTTAAGATTAATAAAAATAATTTTTTAATATTATACTATTACTATGAAAAAAAAATATAAAACAAAAATTTTTAATATATCAATAATAAAAAGAATATAGAAATAAATAATTAAGAAAAAAATAATATGATATATAAATTTATATTCAAAGATTTCTAATTATAGAAAAAAAAAAAAACAAAACAAAAACTTTAAAGAAACTAGAAGAATTAATCAGAACAATAAAGAATTAAAAAAGTTATAGATGTAAGTAGTTGATTTATATAGAAAATTAAAAAGTTTTATATAATAAGTTATAATGAAAATCTTTTTAACTTAAGAATAATCTTAATTGTAAAGGAAATCAGCATGAGTAAGCAAGCAGCTTTAAACATCAGGCAATCGAGTAGAACCGCAAATTAAAAAAAAAATTATTAACAAGTAATTAAAAAAAAAAAAAATCTATAATAAAAACGAGAACAATAAATAATTGGATACTCAAGAATTTAAAATAAAAAAATTGGAATTTTAACTTACTATGTAATTTTTATAGTAATGATAAAAACCAAAGAATAATTTAAGCTAATAGAAAAGTGAAATATTATATTCTAAAGCCAAATATTTACGTAATACCTATATTAATCTAAATTTGATGATCTTTCAACTCTAGCCTCAAAAAATGCCAACTCAACAGATTCCCGGAACAGTCGACGAACTCCTTCAATTTATTTCAGCCCATAGTGATGGCATCGATAATATCTCAAAACAAGTTCATCCAATTCTCAAACAACTTCCACAGCAAATTTTTTTACAAGGTACAGCGGAAAATCAAGATCCCCTTGATCTATTAGATCAAACCTTTTGTAGTTTGGCATATACGTATTTTCTGTAAGTCCGTGCTTTATGTAAAAGGTACGTGACGTTGTGTATGCTTTACTATTTTTTTTTTAAAAAGGATTTTATCTTCAATAGCTCCGCGCGTTGCAATGCCGAAAGACCTAATGCAGCACAACTGCTGAATTACGTTCTTAATTTTTTGCAAGTATTTGATCCGCAACAAATTCGGCTAGCACCCGATAAATGTATGTATCAAATGAAGAGATCTTTATCCTTATTTCGAACTAATCAAATGATTTACATGAAATTTAGTCCTTCAAGTCGCGCAGGGATTTTGTAGAATAGCAACTTTATATGGAAACGTAAGAGAGTCATTGCCAGACCTCATTGATCATTAATTAATTTGCATGTCTGATGGGATAAAATTTTAGAGTGTCATCGCTATCAAACCACTCTCCAATGCACTCCAAAGATATGCGCCGTCAGCACATCATTTGACGAATTTGCATCAGTATCTTATCAAGGTGTGGATACTTCACGCGAGTTATATATCTTATCAAGTTTAATGCTTTTCTAATCCTTGCAAACTCTTTTAAAGGAATGCTTATTATCTAAATGCTATAAACAAGCGTTACAAATATTGCAGAACGATATTACTGAAATAGAAACTTCGGTACGATATCATATTGTCATTACTATTATCGTAAAATTAGATATGAAATCTTGGATTAATTTACTCATTTATGATTCTAGGGAACAGGCATCAATTACATAGATCATCTACTATACCACTATTACGGCGCGATGGTATACATAGGACTAAAAAATTATGAAAGGGCTTTTTATTTCCTAAAATTGGTAAGAAATTGGGTTTTTCACAGAATCGTTTTCCAGAGTCAACCAATTTTCGGTAATTAAATTTGTCATTCAAGGTTATATCTGCGCCGGCAAATATAACGAGTCAGATCCAAATCGAAGCTTATAAGAAGTTTAGTTTGGTTTCACTACTTTTACATGGAAAGGTTTGTGAGTTCTTTATTAGCACTATAAGTGCTTCGTCCCTTTGTGTAACATGTTTGTTTTTTATAGATTGCTCCTCTTCCAAAATATACTGCAACGACAGTGTTTCGTTCGATCAAAAATCAGTGCCAAGCGTATCAAGATTACTCTGCCGCATTTGAAAGCTTGAATGTGAAACGATTGCGAAATGAATTCAACAAATGGGCAGATGCTTTCAGAAAAGTAAATATCATTCTTCATGCCATTAAATGAACATTTAATAATACCCATTTTTGTATAGGATAAAAATCTTGGTCTGGCAAAACAAACACTCGATGCGATTTATCGCCGCAACATTCAACAATTGACTCAAACCTATTTAACCTTATCATTGGCTGATATTGCTGAGGCTGTTGGATTAGAAGGGCCCGATGCGGCAAAAGTGGCTGAAAATTATGTTCTCAGAATGGCAAATATCCATTTTAAAGTGCTTACATCCTACCCAAACTTTTTGGTTTTATTAATGCTTTTTTGGTTTTGCGAATGTATACAGATCGAATCTCGTGAAATATTTGCTACTATTAGTCATTCCCACCAAAACGGGATGGTATCTTTCCATGACAACCCGGAAATGTATAACACTTCTTTAACCATTACTCACCTCGAGCAGCAAATTGCAAAAGCTACCAAAGTGAGCGAACGTGTTGTTAAAACTGATCGAGCTATCGGATGTAGTAAAGAATATCTTACCAAGGTAAGAAGAGAAACTTTGTGTAAATATGATTAACCGATATCTATTATTTTGACTTTTGTTGATTTCATAGAGTCAGAGTTTGCTTGCCACTGGTGGTGCAATGCCTGGCGGACTAGGGCCGGGTGATGACACAGAGTTTTTAGGAGCAGGTGGAGGTTTCGATAATTTTATTGATGATGGAAAATACTTTGGTTGACTTCAACTTAGTCGCAAGTCGTGTATTACGATCATTACCGATGCACTCACTAGAAATCTACTTTTTCAGTAAATTATTGATCGTTGTACTTAATAAAGTTGATAAAACCGACCATGTTCACATCTAAAGTGTAAATCAGAACATTTAATGCCTAATGATAGGTGATTGATTAATTATACAATAATTCTATTTAGGATTAATTTCATTGTTTTAAGAAAAAAACTAAAGTGCTGTAGCTTCTTTGGTTTTTTTTTTTTTTTTTTAACCTGCAATCATACTATCATGACTTGTCTTTTATTGAGATATCAAATAAACATCTACAATATTACACGGACTTTCACATGATGACTAATTTATCTTTGTACATTATTAGTTAAAGGATTACATTACTTAAAAATGTGGGGAATTCATTAAGCTAGTTTGGATTGAACAAAAAAAGTTTCAACTAGGTACTCTAAGTCAAATTTAGGAAATAATATTTCATTTTTCTGATTGATTGATACTGGATCTTTATCTATTAATATTATTATCAACAATTTGTCACTATATATTATTTTGAAAAACAATAAATTATTGAATTAATGTATTATAAAAGGAAAAAATAAAAATAAAAAAATTAATTCAAGGTCTTTTTAAAAGATTTTTATTTAAGTAATCAATCTTTTTTCAAAAAATTTTTGCCGAATTAGTATATTTTTTAACTTTGTAATATTTAAAAAACTTAACTATTTTTGAATAGAAAAACTTTAAAAAAAATATTTAAGTAATTTATATTTCTACTAATATATTAATTCACTTATTATACTAATATTAATATTATATTATAAAAGAATTTATATAATCGAGATAGAGAAGCCTTTTAAAAAGCTTTATTTGACTAGAATAGAAGCTTGAAGATCTTGGTTTTTATTTAATAAAGTTTTTATTATTTAAGAGACTTAATAAAAGATAAAAATATTATATTATATATTTTTTATTTATTATTTATATCATAATTGGTTTTTTAAGTTGAAAAGAAATATTTTTATGAACTTTTCTTTTCTATTATTAATAATATTATTAAGTTATATAATTGTGACTAATAGAAGTTAAAACTAATATATTTTATATTAACTAATTACAATATTTTTAATAAAAATTATATTACTTTAAAAATCAAAATTCAAATAAGACAAATAAAATTTTTCAAAAATTTATAAAAGTAAAAGTTTTAAAAGAACAAAACCAATTAATAAAAAGAAAAATATGCACTTCTAGTATAAAAAATATTCAAATACTTTATGGTTAGTTTTTTTTCTTTTAAAAACTTTTTTCTGTTAATAATAAAAGTGTTTACTTGATTCTTTTGATTATTAAAGATCAAATTTTTATCAAAAATACTCTTTAAATTATTTTAACAGAAATAAATCAAAAAATTAAAAAACTTTTAGATAAATATTTTTTTATATATAATCCAAAAAATTAATAAAAAAGTCATATTATGTTATTTATATATATATATATTTTTTTAATTAGTCATACTGACTAAACTTTATTAATCAGTTATTAAGGAGTTATACAGATTTATTTTACAAGAACGATTCTTATATCTAATCTATACTATCCTAAACCATTCAACACATTCTTAGATTTTATCCAATATGAATACCATCCTGTTAGCTGCCCTGTTGTGCCTGGGCACTCTTGGTATTCTAAGGATTCACCAGAGGACTTCTTTTTATATTCAGGAAGCTATTTTTGGAATTGTTCAATTTGTGGGATCTGTTATACCTTATGAGGTATATGTTCCATAATTGATATCCTTTTACCATACTTAGTCCTCAGAAAGTTGGTTGTTCATTAATATTCTTCAGTTTCCATGTGGTCCTATCGAGTTTCCCGGTGGCCATTGGTGAGCCAGATTGACGACCATAGTCTTCCAATGACCATTTTTAATCACTCTTCAAATATGGGCTTTCCAGGGGTGTTTCTTGATTACTTCATAATAGATTGCTCCTCCCATTGGATTGGTTATCTTGGTAATTGTTTCTGAATTTCTTCTCCCAAGGTCTACCCCTGTAATCCTCCATCATGATTATTCAACTTCATTACTCCTCGTTGGTAACCTGCAAGGTCCAATCTCTGGTAACCATTGGTAATAGCGATTGAAGATCTTCCAGTATGTGTTCGGTCCTTACATTTTGCAACTAGTACATGCGACCAAAGTCTCCCAGACCTCCCATGAGATTGAAGTTTTTAAGAAGAGATAGATTCTGTATGAAGCCGATAGGTTCTTGAGTTTTATCATTATCTTTCTTAGTATTCTTGATGTCTGTACATATTCCAAGCAGCAGGATGTCATAACTTGTTTTCCTAGCACTAAAACTAACCAGGACTTGTGTAACCTGATTTATGACACCATGGTCAGACGATAGGTTTCTATAGGTTGTTTTATGTCCAAGTATGTATGTGGCTAATTAGCATGCATTCTTGTACCACATAACCTATAATGCAAACACTGTTTTGAAATGAGATTGAACCAGTAACTTGCGAATAGTGACCTGGAAGCACACCCACTGTGCTATTGATCCACAGATCAATCCTATTATGTTATTACTTTTTTAGTTTAATGTTAATAACTATAATTTTTTTTTTAATCTATAATCAAATCAATATAATCTTCACTGATCTCTATTTTTTCTAAAAACTTTCTTTTTCGATAATTTTTGAAAAAAGAGAAGCCAACCCAAAAAACAAGAGAAAATCAATATCAAAAACCATCTATTTACAAGAAACACTATAGAAAAACTATAGAATTAACTAGTCACAGTATAGGAACAGATAAGTATCTAAAGACTTCTAACCTTTCTACACAAAATTTTTTTTTTCAGGAAGAACAAACCAAGAGAAAAACTGAATTACAGTAAGCTTTTGAAAGCTCAACATCAGCTTTACAAAGCTTTCAGTCAGGCCAGTACAGGTTAACACCTTTCTAGACATCAAGAAGAACTTTATAAGCAATAATTCAGATCAATAAATCACTTTAAACTCAAATACCCATAAAATTTAGAGAGACACCCAAGCTTCATTGACTATACAGTAAAAAAGCACATATATCATAACAAACAAATTTCAACAAACACAACATCACATGAACATATATATGTATACTTCCTCAGGGAAACAAGATCAAAAAGACATGTCCATATAAATAATGTTTATAGATCATCTACGTATTTACATAAATGAATCAACAACACTCATAGTTTCACATATCTATATAAACAATGTTTTATATATTTACAGTAAACAGATTAACAATACTCATATTTTTATGTATTAATAACAAGCTAATCAACAACAACAACACTATTACTAATGATGGATCCCTAAAATATTTAGTATATAAAATTTCACAGATCATTTATGTCTCTTTTTAAGGAACAAAATTTATAGCTCTTTACTTTAATAGAAACAAAAGTTAAGAAATACTATAAATCAATAATTTGAATAATGGAAAACAAATGTGAGTAGTTTTTTTATAGTTATTAATTTAAAAATTTAATGTTTCTTAATAAGAGATATTTGACTTTTGTTCTTGTCTCCCATTTTAGGAACCCATCTTTAACCATTACCATAACAAACATGTGAAACAGAATCTAAATTTAGAACACAACAATTTTAAGGTTTTTTTGTATCACCAAATTAATAACAAGGGATAAACAAACCTTCATCACATGTTAAAAACAACAAAACACAAGTTAAATCTATTAATCTGTGACATATGACAAGTATAACAATATCAATAACATGAAGATTACTACAGATCACAAAGAAACGTAAATTTCATATTCTAGAAATCCTGATCAAACTTATCTAATAAGTATGATTAAGAGAAAAACTATGAGCAATACAAACAATCCTCAACACAATCTCTATACAAGAAGACAATCTCAATCCAACCCCTAGTCCTATAAGATGCTCAATTTTAGATAGTATTATAGCTAAAATTCTCAACATTGATCGTATCACTTTCACTAAAGCTACAATCCTAAGACAACATATTTTATTTACTTATGGGCTCAAGGACAAGGAAAAGAGGATAATTTGCTGATCCCCTTCTTGGAAGACAAGTATATGGAACTGATAGAACAAGAAGAAAAAAACACATTGATAGTAACAAACAAAGTAAGAAAACATAGTCCTATACAACCCATATTCAAGTTTGATAAAACCACCAAATAAAGAAACAGTTATGAAAATTCAACCAACATACATAATAGAAGTTCCCAATAATGTCAAAATAGAAATGGATGATAAAGAGATTGAGGATCGATTGGAAATAAAACAAATTCAAGAAGAAATTAAAAAAGACAATATCACAGAGTTACAATCCTATAATACTAAAAATAGATCAAAATCAATTAGTATTAATTCATTTCACATTATCAAAAATGAAGTATATAAACTGGGAACCTTAACATCCAAAATACCAGGAGAAAGTGAAAAAGAAAGAATGGTATATCTTCAAAATGCTCTCAGTTTATCAAAGGAACTTCAACTATGCACAAAAAATTTTTTTAATGGTAATGCTTGGACAACTTTCACTTTCAAAGAAAAAGAAGATACACTGAATTGTTTGAAGAAAGTCAACAAAAAAAAAGGGTGAGAATTTTACAATTAATATCCATAAGTATAGAAGAATGGGAAGAGTCAGAATTTCCATCTAATAAAAAGATCTTCAGGAAAAAAACAGAAAAAGAGAACAAAGATTTATTTGTAATCCCAATTGATGTAGATCATGGCCATATATGGCAAGAAGTTAAGGCAGCTTTACAGATATATAGAAAACTCACCAATATCTATATATACAACTATTCAAGATCACGATGAAAAATCAAGGCACAAATTACTCCTCATAAATGAAACAATAAGCTAAAAGATCAATGGATGATTCCCATTAAAACAAAAGTGATCAGGGCTATTTTCACTTAACATGAACCCACTAATCAAGAAGTAGA